TTTGTTTTGCTGAGACAGGGTATTGGTGGGCTGTCTCGGCTGGCCTGGAATCTATGGTGGTCCTGGAGTGTCAGATCTAGGCATGTAGCATCCTATTAGCATTCTTTTGTTTTCTTTATCACTTTAATTACATGTTACAGGCAGGAAATCAGTCCACTCTATAAAAAAGCCCTAATTTTTTTTATTTAAAACTTAAAGTTAGAAAAGTTTGTCATTGAAACGATACACTCATCTTCTGTTTCAAAGTTGAATTCAGTTTGTGTACTACTTATTCTTCAATTAGCTCATTCTACTAATGCAAATAATTTATAAATGATAAAATTCAAAACTTTGGGTGACATATGAGAAAATAGCGGAAAAAAATATCTCTTTTATCTAAAACCTTGTCTGGTTTATCTAGAATTGCCAGATGCTAATGGCTCACACCTATAACCTTAGCTATTCAGGAAGCTGTGATCTGTAGCATCATGGTTTAAAGCCACTCCAGGCTTGGGAAAGTTTTCTAGATTCTACCACCAAAATTACCAGCAAAAAGCAGGGCTGAAAGAATGGCTCAAGGAGTAGAACACCAGCCTAGCAAACTCAGGGCCTTAACTTCAAATCTCAGTACTGCCAAAAACAAAAGGTTTGTCACGTGAGTTGTCTAAACAAGTGACATCACACACATGACCTCTAAAACCTTGAATGTGACTGAGGAATTAAATTTTCATCTTTATTTTATTTTAAACAGGAGCAATACAGTATTTTTTTTGTTTTGTTAGAACTTCACTCCACTTTAAATGTTTTACTGTTTAAAATGCTACTATGTTGTATATATGCTAGTCACCTATATTCTTTCTACAATCATATTAATATTTTATACTTTTATATTTCTATTTTATCCTGTTGCAATAACATTTGCATATATTTTAGAATGTATTTATATAGAACATTAACACATTAGTAAAATTAATTTCACTGTTTCTTCTTTTTGAAATATAGCTCCTAACAAACTGACAACTCTGTATATGGCTTATATTTAACCTGTATTGGAAAAGGCCAACAGTATAGGCAGTTTAGAAGTCTTTAAATATCTTCCCACAAACAAAATAGGAGAAAGGTTTGCCAGAGTTCATATTGCACCATTAGGACCTATTAATAAACATCATTACTGACACACACTATCTGCAATAAAAATAGTAGAAAAAACACTGATAAATATATAGCATTCAAATACTGTCATTTTCTTTTGGGGGAATAATGGTATTTGAGTGAAAATTTGTTTAATAATTAGATCAAGAAATAGGAAAAAATTATGCATGAAGTTCTTTATTCTCTTCAAGTGTTTTCAAAGTTTAGGCTCTCTATTATAAATTATTCCATTTCAAAATACAGAACCTTCTCCATCTTTCAGATAACTGCAACATCACTGGCTCTATGCTAGTGTTTATCAACAATGATTAATGTTTTTTCCTAAAAGCTGCAGAAGAGAAAATGCATTAAAAGGGGGTGGGGCAGGTTATAGAGTGGAGAAAAGATAGTGTAATGTAGATGTAACTGAAAAATAAATAATGACTGACAGCAGGTGAGAGAGGGTACTGATATGCACAAATCCCTGAGAAAGAGGAAATAGAACAGCTGGAGACAGACTCTTTACTATATTAATATCTAGCTATACCTATCAGTAGGTGGTACTGTTGGCCTGAAACAGCGTAGGTGCTACCCAGAGGAAACAGAAGCACGTAGTTGCTTCATAAGCAAAGAACTATGGTAGTTCTGTATATGCAGACTTTCACCAGCCACCCTACAAAATATAGATTCTGCAAATGTTGGGAAGTCAGGAATGAAAGAGAATGGATAAAATAGCTAAGAAGGCTATTTTAGAAACGCGGCTTAGAAGGCTTAGAAGAAAAAAATCTAAGTCTTAAAATAAGACAGATTTATTTCTGATATTCTAAAAATGATGATTATCCTTTTAACCATTCATCTGCCCACCTGTTTATCCAATTAAGTTTTTACATACTACAGCAACTCAGCAAGACAGTAGGAATTTAAAGGCAAATAAAAAGAGCAAATTTAGACCAATTAAAATAAATTAAAAACCTATGGGATTTGATATCCAAATTATTGTACATGGCAAAATGCAACTAATCCTTTTGAAGGAAATAATGAGTAACGCTAAGGTCGAGATTTACCGATGAAAACCAGGATAGTGAGTGAGTGGAGAGGGTGATCTGACTGGATGAGAGAGAGAGAAAAGGAGCCAGCCACGTACCTTGAGATGCACCCATCTTTAGGCAGGCAGAAGGGAAATCAACAAAGATGGCTGTAAAGCTTGGTGTCAGTTCTTTGCTTCTGCCACACTTTCAAATCCCTCTGTCATCCCCCGACCACCGCTAACATGATCCTCAGCACCCTTACTTTAATACCTGTAAATGTGTCTCCAATCTCACCCTCATTCTTCTTCAACATAGCCAGAGTCCACAAGGTCCCAGGACACCACATTTTTGTTCCTATCACCACTTTCTTACTAAAACTTGTTCCATGAACAAAGCAGAGTCCACTCTAGATCAAGTTTTGCATGTTATGGCTCCTAGTCATCTTGCTGGCTCATCCCTTGCCCTCAGCTTATTCTCTGATTACTAGGTATGAAACGGCAGTTTCCAAAGAGTGGTGTCTGGACTAGCTTTATCAGCATTACCTAAGAATGCAGACCTAAGACTATGGAGGTATCTCAGTGGTAGAATACTTGTTTAGCATTCTTAAGACCCTGGGCTTGATCTCTAATACCACAAAAACAAAAAACAAAACTAAGAAATGTAGACCTAACCCAGAGCTTCTAAACCAGAGTAAACACTTGTAGGTCCAATGATCTGAGTTGTTGTTGTTTTGGGTTGTTTGTTTGTTTTTTTGCCAGTCATGGGGCTTGAACTCTGGGCCTGGGCACTGTCCCTCAACTCTTCAGCTCAAGGCTAGTGCTCTATGACTTGAGCCACAGTGCCACTTCCAGTCTTTTTTGCTTATGTGGTGCTGAGGAATTAAACCCAGGGTCTCATGCATGCAAGGCAAGCACTCTACTAGTGAGCTTCCTTCCCAGCCTCTGATCTGAGTTTTAACCAGTCTTTAGTTGATTCTGCAACACATCAAGGTTTAAGTCACTGATTTCAACCATGAGTAAGAAGTACATTTTTATCTGAAGAATTCTGAGGGGGTAAAATGGATAAGTATTCGAGCATAATGATGAAAATCACATACCCAAGTCATACTACCAGGGTTCAAGTTTTGCTCAATTTCTGCCTAATTTTGTGACCACAGCTGGCCTTAGTATACAGTGGTATGCTTAACAGCACAGATCCTACAGCAAGAACGCTTGGATTTAAATTCTGCTCTCTTGAAGATATAATAATAAATGAATTTAAATGGCGTGAAATGATATAGTGATATTTCTACCATGGCTCTCAGAGAGTTTCACTCTCATAATTAGTATAGTTATAAGGTTAGGATATAAAATAAGACAGTGAGTTAAGATATGGAAGGAAATGTAAGAAAAATGTAGAAAAAAAGTCATAAAATCACAGTCAAAATACAAGACTCAGTACTGAGAGAGTTCAAGACCTACTTTGAGAACAATTGATTGTGTTGCCACAGAAATTAGTTCAGTCATCAAATATGAATCTTCTGCTCCCATAGTCTCAAACAGAGATGGATGTGAAGCAGGTATAGAGTAGGCTTTATCTATGATCGCTTCATTTCTTTAGATTTAAGTGTTTTTTAATTAACTTTCTGTGTAAAATAAAAGTTAAAGAAAGAGCATGCTAGCCAGGCACAGGTGGCTCACGCCTGTAATACTAGCTACTCAGGAGGCTGAGATTGAGGATCACAGTTCAGAGCCAGCCTGGGTAGGAAAGGCTTTGAGACTCTTATATCCAATAAACCACTCAGAAAACTGGAAGTGGCGCTGTGGCTCAAATGGTAGAGTGCTAGCCTTGAGCTGAAGAACTGAGGGATAGCGCCCAGGCCTAGAGTTCAAGCCCACGACCAACAAAAAAACAAAAACAAAAACAAAACAAGAATGAGCATGGTATGAGGAATTTGTGACCTTTATTCATACATGACAGACATATTTTTGTGTGATGGTTTTGTTTAGGTTTCTCCTCTGGAACTTTAAACTTCAAATATGAGGTTAGATGAAGGTATCTTGGCAGACCCCCTTCCATACCTTCTATTTTAAAATGGAGGTCACTAGTTACACAGAACACCCCATCAATTCTGGGTATCAAGGCATCCCTTCCATTGAGCACATTTTTACACTGAGGAATGAAGAGGTTCATATATTAAAAATTTTTGAAAGCACCTTAATTTTTTTAAAAAGTCTTGACCTTTTTTGAAAAATATATGTACCATGGAAGTCAGACAGCTTAGCTTGTGTCTACCACCCTGGTTTAACACAATGTTAACTGCATTGGTAAGAAAAACATAAATACACGCAAGAAATTAAAAAAAAACATACAATGGCTAAAAAGAAAAAAATGTTCATCTAATTTTTTAAAAAGTTGGCAGAGGTGGTGCCCATAGCTTATGCCTGTAATTCTAGCTACTCAAGAGGCTTGGATCTGAGGATCATGGTTCAAATCCATCCTGACCAGGAAAATCTACAGACGCATCTCCAATTAAGCAATAAAAGGCACAAGTAGAGCTATGGCTTCAACAGTTGAGATTATCTTGACCTGGGTCAGCACCCAGGTCGAGTTCAAGTCCCAGGACTGGTGCAGGAGGAAAGAAAAGTCAACAGTATTCTTTACTTACAACAAAATATAATACAAAAACCTTTTTACCTTGTCTTAAAAATATTAATTTAAAATATTACGACATAACTCAAGAGTCTTAAAATAAGATCAACTGTCTTGAAGCATAAAAACTATAACATGAATAAAATACAGCTTTTCCTCTACATCTGTATATTCAACACACAGGTTTTTAAACTTAAGGAGACCTTCTAAGAAAATCATCAGAATGTTTACCTGCACAGTCCTCTGAGTGCCATCAACGCTGACAGACAGTAAGGGCAAAGCCAGGTTCCACGTACTGGTCAATTTTAGTTTCGACCCGCCAACTTCCACCTGTTGTGACACCAAATAAGACTGTTAGCATGAAGCAAGACAGAAAGCTGCTCTCAAGTTCATTGCTGCATACAAAGCAGCAGCCACTTTAAACAGATGGCTCCCAAACAACCTGTCATGTTTACTGCTCCAGCCATGAAAGACAGGGCCCAACAGCAGAGCCTCCCCAGTCATCTCCGGGGAGAGGTGAAGGACCTGAGAACAGCTGCCTCCGGGTGCTGAGGCTTCACATGATTTATAGGAAGTAACAAACAGCCTTCTAACTCCACACCTATCTGGACATGCTACATTTACTACAATTAGACAAGTAATGCATATAAATTCCAGTGACACCTTGCAACCCACGCAACAGGGCTTGCATATAATATCCTCTCCAAGGACCAAGGAAGAACTTCTTTCTGCGCTAATTTTAATGAAGGACTCTGCATTGTTATCTTAATTATACGTAAGCTTTAATTGGGCAAAAATATTTGGCACTGAGTATCTGAAGTCCACTCAAACTTTGCAAAGTTCTATCATATTTTTGCCAAACAAAACATGATGATAAAGTCATCATTCATAAAGATAGAAAGGCAACAACCAATCTTTCCAATGGGAGATATTCTTATGGAAAATAATTTAATTTTTATGTAAATAATACAAAAGCAATTTTAAAAAACTAATCTGAAGTTCTTTCTGCCCTTTCACTTACTAATGATTGTTCTCTAACATGAGACAACAAATAACATCATTACAGTCTACCACAGACAATCTAACAGAGGAACGTGTGAATATATTTAAGTTTTATAGCATTATCTAATGATTCCCCTCCCCATTTTCAATTCTCACACTTTACATCAGACATTTATTCCTTAAAATTAAATACCAGAATCCTCATTGTCTTTTTTGTGAGACCCCTGAGGACTAGTAGAAATGGAGGAAGATGTGTGAAAACATTTTAGAACTATCTGGCTCGTCAAAGTATCCAGGCCTGAGGTCATAGACTCGGGGAGGTTGTAGGCTTTCTTAAATGAAGTTCAGCACTCAGCTTCATTGACAAAATGGTATGAGTACAACACAACAGACCAATGGAGGAAAAAGCTGGACAGATGACCTAAGCTCATGGTAAGTAGATGGCACAGATGATTCCATGGCTTCAAGCAAATAACAGACTCCATGGGTAGCAGAAGCCTCTTCAATGTCTTAAAGCACCCAAAGACTGAATGAGTTCATGACTCATTCCTCAACAAGGCATGGCCTGGGGCCTGGCAGCAAAGACTTACAAGGCCAACACTAAATCTGGTTCTCAACTACTACTACCATCATAACCATTCCTAAAGCCCAGGCACCTAGGGTGCAACCGTGGTGGGGGTTGGGGACAAAAAAGATTCCAACCAGTAGGTTACTCAAAAAAGAATATTTATACCAAAAAAGGTAAGATTCTGTTACATGCAAATTTTTCTTCTCCCATACCTTATTAAAAGAAAGACTTCATGTGATTGAAAAATAAACCACATTTCCTCATAGGCCTGATGCGTAAAGGGTACAAATTTTTACTTTAAAAAATCTGAAACAAGAAAGTCATAACTGCAAGTATAAAATATGAACAGCAAAAAAAAATATGAACAGCACCTATGAGTATTAAAGAAGGGAGGAGACCTGCTGAAAGCACCACATGCCTGCTCAGGTCCAGCAAGAAATACAATTTCCTCTAAGAGATACAACTGTGAGCAACCCATGAAGTGATTCTGTTGATGCCATACTAGATGTGTGCACAGCTGGTGAGGCAGATACCATACTTCACAACCACAGTTTAACACCATGGAAAGTTGGGCTGTACTAAAAGAAGTAACTCCTGTTATTGTGCCCCATATACTGTTTATATCCAGTCCTTTGGAAAAGGTAGCTAAAGAAGCAGGACAGAAGTGGTACTAATTGTCACTAAGTTGAGAACCTTGCCTATAAACCACTACCATAACTGGGCACTGATGGCTCATATCTGTAATTCTAGCTATTCAGGATGCTGAGATCTGAGGATTTGGGTTGGAAGCCAGCCAGGTCAGGAAAGTCTATGAGAGTCTTACCTCCACTAAACTAACAAAATCTGGAAGTAGAGCTGTAGCTCAAGTGGTAGAGTGCTAGTCTTGAGAAAAAGCAGCTCAGGGACAGTTCCCAAGCACTGAGTTCAAGCATCAGGACCTACACAAAAACAAAACATAACCACCACCACTTTATCTTCTCAATACCAACAATCAATGGGAAATGAGTCCAGTACAAAGGAAAGAAAGGGCAGATCTGGTGAGAAAACCAGAGTATTAAGCTGAAGGAAAAGCCACAGTCTACTTATGCTTATAGCCAGGCTTCCTATTATAACATGAACTATAATCAGAAAACAAGCAATATTACATATTGACATACAAGTTAGGAAAAAATATAGGCAGAAAAAGGTAAATAAATTAAGAGTATATAGCACAAGAAGAGCTACTTAAAGGAACACAGGAAGAGTTCAGATAAATAATTTTCCAAAGTCTCAAAGGCAACCATAGGAAACATGACCCTACTTAAAGAAAAAAAAAAAAAGCTCAAAGAAGAAAAACAAAGGTTCAAAGAAAAGATTATATAACAACAGAAGGAAATGAAAATCAAGCTGGTAGAACTCAGAGAAAAGAAAAGAAAAAATAACATTATAGAGATAAAAGCCACATTAAGACGCAACCAAAAATAGAATGACTAAAAGAAACACCAGGACATAGAGAAACCCTATTCAACAAAACAAATAGGACCAGCATAGAACAAGTTACAGTGGAAGACACCAGATATGGAGGAGGAAGAAAAGACATGCAAAAAAATGCAATTCTCTTTTTAAAGGTATATACAGAAAAAATGTAAAGCCAAAGAAATGGTATTTTAATTTAATTATTTATTTATTTTTTGGGGGTGGGGGGTCAGGTCGTGGGGCCTGAACTCTGGGCCTGGGCGCTGTCCCTCAGGTCTTCAGCTCAAGGCTAGCGCTCTACCACTTGAGCCACAGCGCCACTTCTGGCTTTTTTCTTTTTGTTTATGGTGCTGAGGAATCAAACCCACTGAGCCAACTTCCCAGCCCAGAAATGGTATTTTTAAATAAGCAAAATTTGCAGAACGATGATTTTTATGGAATTTCAGAACTAAAGAAATAATTACGACAGACATTAAGAAATTATGTACAAGGAAGGAGAGAAAAAAAAATCATGTCAGGGGACTAGAAAGGTGGCTCAGTGGGTAGAGTGCTTACCTTGCATGCATGAGGCCCTGGGTTTGATTCCTCAGCACCATAAGCAAAAAGAAAAAAGCCAGAAGTGGCGCTGTGGCTCAAGTGGTAGAGCACTGTTCAGGGACAGCGCTCAGACCCAGAGTTCAGACCCCATGACCAACACCCCCACCCCCCCTCCAAAAAACAATCATGTCAGATTTGAGGCTAAGGATAGGAGAAGGAAAATAGGGGAGAACAAAGGACAAGGTGACGCTGACCACAAATGATTAAACCCATAATCTGACTCATGGAACTGTAACCCTTGTACAACTACGTATAATAATAAATCATGTCAGACTCACACTGATACAAAGATCACAGAGCAACAGGTTCAAACACTGATAAGAGGAAATGATCTCCCTGGATTTTGTATCTAGCCAAAGTAGCCTTAAAGTATATCCCATAAGTGTGTATTCTATAGCATGTAAAAAGTTAAAAGGCACTTTCTTTTCTTTTTTATTAGCTTAGGTTAGTTACATGGGGGAGGGGATTTCTTTGTTACATCTTCATTCATGCTTATACTATAGTCAGTCAGTCAGTCTTATCAAAAGGGACTTTCTTCTGTTTATTTTTTTGAGACAGATCTTGCTATGTAAACTAGGCTGGCAGGGACTCATAATCCTCCTGTTTCAGCCTCCTGAGTGCTGGAATTACAGGCATGCACCACCACACCTGGCCTTTTTTTTTTTTTAGAGGAATTTCATTTTTACTGAATAAAAACATTACTGTTCATGTACACATATCTGAATACACATTCAAATATTTGTAAGTAGTAAATACACATTTTTGTGATATAGACTTTGCATAAAGATGTTAAGTCCAAAGAAAAATTATAGTTATTGACAATTACCAATATTTCGATTTTCTGGTTTTCGTCAGAATTTCTAAGATACTTCTGGATGTACACGTTACGAAGCACACGAGGATGTGACCCCTCCTCACTATGTGATACTCCCCAACAATGCTCAGTGCCTCCCCGAGGGCACAGAGAAAGCGGAAGGCGAAGCTCATCTGGGTTGGTGATGGATGGAGAAGGAAGTGGTGAAGAAGAGGAGGATACCTGTAAGTAAGTAACTATAATTACAGGCCAGGAAATCTAAGATGGACAAGGAAGATAAAAGCAGGCATGGAAAAAATAATGCAGGACTGGCTGCCTGTCTTCAACATCAGTAAGCAGGATACACAGGAGGGAATCCGAAGGTTGCCGAGGGGAAAATGGTGCGTTTCCAAGGAGAAGCAATTTCTAAGAGAGAGGAACAGTATCTAGAATGGTGTCACTTCACATCTCTGAAGTGCCTATATTAGAGAGAGAAAGTAAAGGTAAAAAGAGGTAGAACGTTCCAGAAAAGGCTGATATGGGGGGGATCTGCAGCATAAAGAAGACAATTCAGGGGGCTCATGGAAAAATGCAGAAAAATTAGACAGATTACAGGCAAGGGCTGGGCCTCAGATCTAGGAAAGAATGGAGGACCAGAATGGTTCTCCAACACTGACTCCCTCCGGCTGCACGGCTGCAGCCACAGCCACACTGGGTCTCTGCACCTGCGCTCCTGCACCACTGCAGTTGACTGCACTCCCCACAGATGCCTCTGTACCTCCAAATGGTCTCCTCACCACAGCCAGTCATGCAATGGCAGAGTGAACATCTTACAAAGCCAGAGGCAAAAAGGAAATAAAACTAGTATGAGAATTTGAAAATGGTGGTACCGTCTGCTTTTGATAAGTGTAAACC